GTAACTCAAATAACCACTCGTTACAACCAAGGTATGCAGAATACCATCTCTGAATACACAACACGTGCAACCTTAAAACAGATGGGCTACAGCAGCAGAAGACCACACCGGGTGCCACTCCTATCAGCTCAGAACAGGAAACGGAGGCTATAATTCGCACAGACTCACTAAAGTTGAACAATAGAAGATTGGAAAAACGTTGCCTGGTCTGATGAGTCTGGATCTCAGCTGTGACATTCAGATGGTGGGGTCAGAATTTGGCGTAAACAACATGAAAGCATGGATCCATCCTGCCTTGTATCAGCGGCCAGTTGGTTTCATACATACATGTTATCAATGAAATCATGGCTTAGTTCTGTACCAGGGAGGAACAGGGTCACCTTTGTCATGGGGGGCAAACACACCCAACGAGCATTTTCATGTTCAGAACAAATTCCAGTGGGTTAGGAAAGTGCTACGAATGGAAAGAACAGGTTTGCACTCCTCAATGGGACATATAGGTGAGGTCTTTAGGTTTTATCTGCATATATTTTGCCTTCCTGAGTTCCTCCCCCCAATCAACATGCTAAAAAAAAAAAAAAATAACTTTCTGGTTTTATTACATTTCATTACATTCCTCAATATAGACCTGAATAGGGATAACGGTGATCCCTTACTATATCCTACACATCATAACAATATATAGAATGAAATAGCAGTAATAAGAGGGTTCAGTTACGTCAATATATATATATAAGTGCTTTAGAGCGAGGTTTGCACAGGTTGCACTAATTTAAAAAAAAAGCAAGAAAATATATATAAATAAAAATGTGAAAAATCACACACAAAATCATATAAAGTCCAAAAAAATTATAAAAGTCCAAAATATATATTATGTGACAAGTAAAAAAGTGTCCAACAAATGTCACCATGTGTCAATCCACACCAAATAAATGGAATGAACTCACCAGAACAATATGCTGATCGAGTTATAAATCAGCAGAAACGCTTTCTGCTCTGGGAGCAATAATCTGCAAGATGATGAGACAACACTTGGAACTTGATGTCTGGTCTCCAAGGGGTAATACTCTGCAGGGAATGTATACCATATGGGTCCACTAAAGAAACCATCAACTCCTTTGGATATTCAGACCTCCACTCGAGATATAAGAGAACAGAAACTCATGGTGCAGTACTTCTTAAAACTTCTAATTTATTAAAACACATTGCACTACAAGAAACGGTGTCCTAGCCGACACCAGCGCAAACAGCGTGATGAAATTCAATACCAACAAACCCAGCCTAGCCGCGCATGCGCCGTACCAGCAGCTTGGAAACGTCTTGACATCACATCCACGGGCTCCGCCCTACGTGTTTCGTCATCGACATCCTCACGGAGCGGATCAAATATTGTAATTGTGTAATTAATTATCTGTTGTTTGTCTTCTTGTCTTGCTGCTATTCTCTAACTAACCTTGCGGAGTGTGGATGGGTTCCAGGTATAATCTCTGAATTAGCAGGGATTATACACCCTTATGGGCAGAAGAACGGTCATTGCTATTTCAGCTGGTGACTGCAATGGAGGAGCTATGAGTGTGTGAGTGATGGTGGGTAAGTCGTGGTTCAGGTGAGCAACTCTCTTGCTGGGAGTGTAGTTTTTTGAGGAGGAGGGGGTGGTCGACTGTGTCGAAGGCCGCAAAGAGGTCAAGGAGTAGGAGCACTGAATAGTGGCCATTAGCTTTGGCGGTTAGAAGGTCGTTGGAGAGTTTGAGTAGGGCAGTTTCGGTGGAGTGTAGTGGACGGAAGCCGGACTGTAGGGGATCGAGGAGGTTGTTGTCGTTGAGGTGAGAGCATAGGCGGGTGTAGACTAGGCGCTCGAGGAGTTTGGATGTAAATGGGAACAGGGAGATGGGTCTGAGGTTGTTCGGGTCATTGGGGTCCAGGGAGGACTTTTTAAGTATGGGGGTGATGTGTGCATGTTTCAGAGGGGAGGGGAAAGTGCCGGAGGAGAGGGAGAGAATAAAAATGTGGGTGAGGGAGCGTAGGATGGAGGGGGAGGCAGCTTGTAGGAGTAATGAGGGGATAGGGTCGAGGGGGCAGGTGGTGAGGCGGGCATCAGAGAGGATATTGGAGACTTCCTCGATGGTAGAAAGGTCAAAGGTGTGGAGTGTTGGGGGGGCTTCAGTATGAGGAATGTAGGGTGGGGTGGAAGTGGAGGTCAGAGCAGTGGTGGGGCCGTGGGAGAGGGGTGATAAAGGGGTAGCTGAATGAGGGGAACAGGGTTGGAGGGAGATTGAGCAGCGACGAAGTCCCTGCGGGTTATGTCGAGGGGGAGGGGGGGGGATGAGGGGGTAGCTGTGTGAGAGGGGATGGATTGAGAGGGCGTGTGAGTTCGGCAATGTCCTTGCGAATTGTGTCAATCTTGTTTTTGAAGTGATTGGCAATCTCAAGGGCGGTGAGTGAGGTGCTGGGTGGAGGTGGGGGTGGTGAGAGTAGAGAGTTGAAGGTGGAGAAGAGTCGGCGAGGACTGGAGGAGAGGGCCTTGATGAGGGTCAGGAAGTAGGCTTGTTTGGCTAAGTGGAAGGAGGAGGTGTAGGTGTGGAAGGCAGATTTGTAGCGGGTGAAGGCTAGTTGGGATCTGGTTTTGCGCCATAGTCGCTCCAGGGCATGACTGTGTCGTTTGAGGGTTTTGGTGTGATCAGTCTGCCAGGGCTGGAGCGGTCGGGGTCTGATGTTGCGTGTGGTTAAAGGCACTAGTGAGTCAAGGGCTGTTGACAGCGCGTTGTTGTAGGCAGTCATAGCCAAGTCGGGGCAGGACAGGGGGAGGATGCTGTCATGGAGTTGATCAGCTGCAGAGTGGAGGGGGGCAGGGTTAAGGTTGCGGAGGTTACGGCTGGTAGTAGTGTGACATTTGGAGGGGTAGGCGTTGGAGGACGAGGATATAGAGAAGGTAATCAGGTTGTGGTCAGAGAGAGGGAAGGGGGTGTCAGTGAGGTTGTGGGGAGCGCAGCGGTTGGAGAAGACAAGATCAAGGATATTACCGTCGGAGTGGGTGGTGGATTGTATGTACTGTGCAAGTACAAAGGAGGAGGTTAAGTGGAAGAGATGGGATGTGTCCAGGTTGTCGAGGTTGACAGGGATGTTGAAATCCCCAAGGATGATGGTGGGTAGCTCAGAGGAGAGGAAGAAGGGTAGCCAGGAGGAAAAGTCATCCAGGAAGCGGGGTATGGATCCAGGAGGCCGGTATATCACAGCAATCTTCAGGGGGGTTGGGGAGAATAGTTGGACGCAGTGGGCCTCATAGGAGGAGAAGGATAGAGAGGGGGGGTTTGGGAGGACTTGGAAGGTGCTCTGCGGTGACAGGAGCAGACCAACCCCACCACCTGTCAGGGCTCCAGGGTATGACCAGAGGTATGTGACTGACGCAGGGAAACGCAGACTCCAGATATGATATAAACAATATAATTTATTAACACTAACAATACATAAACGCAGTGCAATACTAAAACATAACACAGTGCAAACAAACCAAACCAAACCACCCACAGATAACAAAACATACAATGCAAGCGTCGTCAGGCAGGCTGGGATCATCAACAGGAGGTCAGAACGTATGGGGTTAAGCAGGAGAATGGTCAGACAAAGCCAGGGATCAGAGCAGGAGAATGGTCAGACAAAGCCAGGGATCAGAGCAGGGTCAGACAAAGCCAGGGATCAGAGCAGGGTCAGCAACGAATCAGACAGGAACAGGGACAGGAACAGGAACAGGGACAGGATTGCAGGAACAGGATACAGGGCCCAGGAAAAACATACACCAAGCAGAGTCTGCAGGTCTGGCCATCCCTTAAATACACCAGCATAAGCAGTTTCAGGTGTTTGGCTGGCTGCAAGGTTGAGTCTCTGATTGCTGGGAGCACCCGCTTGGCCAGCCCTGGTACTGCAGCCCATAAGGCAGGTGAGTCCCACCATTGCTGGCCAGTCCATTCCTGACAGTACCCCCCCCCTCAAGGAGCGGCCTCAGGACGCTCCAAACAGTCCTAGCTGGGCAAAGTGTTCCACCGCCCGGGTCTGGTAACTGGCGGGATATCAAAGACTGGCACACCGGGCAGGACTCCGGGCAGCGGCACATCGGGGCAGGACTCCGGGCAGAGGCACATCGGGCAGCAGCGACACACCGGGCAGAGGCACATCGGGCAGCGGCACTCCGGGCAGGCACTCCGGGCAGAGGCACATTGGGCTGGACTCCGGGCAGAGGCACATCGGGCTGGACTCCGGGCAGAGGCACATCGGGCTGGACTCCGGGCAGAGGCACATCGGGCTGGATTCCGGGCAGAGGCACATCGGGCTGGACTCCGGGCAGAGGCACATCGGGCTGGACTCCGGGCAGAGGCACATCGGGCTGGACTCCGGGCAGAGGCACATCGGGCTGGACTCCGGGCAGAGGCACATCGGGCTGGACTCCGGGCAGAGGCACATCGGATCACCAGGCGAAGCAGCAGGCACCGGGCCACCAGGCGGAGCAGCAGGCAGCGGGCCACCAGGCGGAGCAGCAGGCAGCGGGCCACCAGGCGGAGCAGCAGGCAGTGGGCCCCCAGGCGGAGCAGCAGGCAGCGGGCCCCCAGGCGGAACAGCAGGCACCGGGAACCCAGGCGGGGCAGCAGGCATCGGGCCCCCAAGTGGGGCAGCAGGCATCGGGCCCCCAGGCGGGGCGACAGGCACCGGGCCCCCAGGCGGGGCGACAGGCATCGGGCCCCAGGCGGGGCGGCGGGCGCCGGGCCCCCAGGAGGGGCGACAGGCATCGGGCCCCCAGGCGGGGCGACAGGCATCGGCCCCCATTGGGCCCCCCCCAGGCGGGGCGACAGGTCATCGGGCCCCCAGGCGGAGCGGCGGGCACCGGACCCCCAGGCGGAGCGACAGGTCTCGGGCCCAGGCGGAGCGGCGGGCGCCAGGACCCCCAGGCGGAGCGACAGGTCTCGGGCCCCCAGGCGGAGCGGGGGCGACGGGACCCCCAGGTGGAGTGACAGGTCTCGGGCCCCCAGGCGGAGCGGCGGGCGCCGGACCCCCAGGTGGAGCGACAGTTCTCAGGCCCCCAGGCGGAGCGGACAGGTCTCGGGCCCCCAGGCGGAGCGGCGGGCGCCAGACCCCCAGGCGGAGCGACAGGTCTCGGGCCCCCAGGCGGAGCGGCGGCGCCGGACCCCCAGGCGGAGCGGCGGGCGCCTCGGGCCCCCAGGCGGAGCGGCGGGTCGCCGGGCCCCCAGGCGGAGTGGCGGTGGGCGCCAGACCCCCAGGCGGAGCGGCGGGCACCGTCACGGGCCCCGACAGGCGGGCGGCGAGTCAACCGGCATGACCCCAGGCGGAGGATCGCTGGGCGGACAGCGGGCACGCCCAGGCGGGTCATTTGGCTCGGCGGGGCACCGCGTCATCAGGCACGCAGTGGGCTCCGAGTCAACTGGCATGACCGCTGGCACTGGGTCAGACATTGGATCGTCTGGCTGGACAGCGGGCATCGGGTCACCAGGCATCAGGTCATTTGGCTCGACAGCGGGCACCGCGTCATCTGGCAAGGCAGTGGGCACCACGTCACCAAGCACGACAGTGGGCTCTGAGTCAATTGGCACAAAAGCGGGCACCGGGTCATCAGGTACCGGATTGTCTGGCTCGACAGCGGGCATCGGGTCACCAGGTATGACAGCGGGCACTGGGTCACCAGGCATCAGGTCATTTGGCTTGCCAGCGGGCACCGCGTCATCTGGCAAGGCAGTGGGCACCGAGTCACCAGGCACGACAGCAGGCTCTGAGTCAATTGGCACGACAGCGGGCACCGGATCAGGTACCGGATCGTCTGGCTCGACAGCAGGCACCGGGTCATCTGGTGCTGGATCGTCTGGCTCGACAGCGGGCATCGGGTCACCAGGCATTGGATCGTCTGGCTCAACAGCGGGCATCGAGTCAACTGGCCTAATAGGATCATCAGGCTGGATCAGTTCATCAGGCTGGGTAGAAACATCATGCTGGGTAGAGGCATCAGGCTGAATGGAGGCATCAGGCTGAGTAGAGGCATCAGGCTGAGTAGAGGCATCAGGCTGAGTAGAAGCATCAGGCTGAGTAGAGGCATCAGGCTGAGTAGAGGCATCAGGCTGAGTAGAAGCATCAGGCTGAGTAGAGGCATCAGGCTGAGTAGAGGCATCAGGCTGGGTACAGGCATCAGGCTGAGTGGAGGCATCAGGCTGAGTGGAGGCATCAGGCTGAGTGGAGGCATCAGGCTGGGTACAGGCATCAGGCTGGGTACAGGCATCAGGCTGGGTAGAGGCATCAGGCTGGGTAGAGGCATCAGGCTGGGTACAGACCTCAGGCTGAAGTGCGGGTGCCGAGGCACCAGGCTGAACCACGGAAGGCAGGCTCACCGGTTTGGATACTGGCAGGATGGTATTGGTTGGAAAGAATTTTTGCTTTTTTCTGGTTTTAACTACTGGAGCACTGCAAGTAAACGCAGGTCTGCAAACGAATGGAGCAGCTGGAGACAGAGAAGAACTGGAGGATGGAACAGGAGAGGGAACAGTTGCTACAGAGGGCTTTTTTACAGGGTTAAAGGCAGGATAGGTGCAGCGAGTGGGAACAGGGTACTGACATGCGGTAGATAGCAGGGCAGGAGGAGCTGTTGGGAATGCAGGAATAGAGCTTTGAAGAAATAGATTAGAAGCAGGACTGGGTTTTTTTGTAAGCTGACTGAGGCTGGGTGCAACAAGTCTGACCATGTCTGCAGTATGGTTGAACAAAGCTGAGCTTACACAAAGCCTGTCTGGTCAATGACTGCACTGCGTTTATACAATCTCTTAGTGTCTGTGGTGAACAGGCAGAATAACGCTCCAGAAAGTAATCCACATCATCCTCTAATAACCATACCAGGGACTCTACCTGGTCTGCACTAAATGGCGGCAAAAATTCATCCCTGCATTCGGGGGTACCAGATGAAACCAACTCCGCACAAACCTGAATCAAAGGTTGCACCTCAGAGAACTCTGTGCCCTGATCTACTAGAACATGAGCGAGCCGTATACATTCTAGCAGTTCATCCCGGGGATACTCCTTCAGAGTCTGATAAGCATATTCTCTGTCATCAAACACTAGCAGATATAAATACACAACCTCATCAAGATCCATCCTTCCCATCAACAACCAAGATGGCTTCCCTGTGCAGCCACTTCTGGTCAGGATTGGCCTTGGTGTAATGTCAGGGCTCCAGGGTATGACCAGAGGTATGTGACTGACGCAGGGAAACGCAGACTCCAGATATGATATAAACAATACAATTTATTAACACTAACAATACATAAACGCAGTGCAATACTAAAACATAACACAGTGCAAACAAACCAAACCAAACCACCACAGATAACAAAACATACAATGCAAGCGTCGTCAGGCAGGCTGGGATCATCAACAGAGGTCAGAACGTATGGGGTTAAGCAGGAGAATGGTCAGACAAAGCCAGGGATCAGAGCAGGAGAATGGTCAGACAAAGCCAGGGATCAGAGCAGGAGAATGGTCAGACAAAGCCAGGGATCAGAGCAGGAGAATGGTCAGACAAAGCCAGGGATCAGAGCAGGGTCAGCAACGAATCAGACAGGAACAGGGACAGGAACAGGAACAGGGACAGGAACAGGAACAGGGACAGGATTGCAGGAACAGGATACAGGGCCCAGGAGAAACACACACCAAGCAGAGTCTGCAGGTCTGGCCATCCCTTAAATACACCAGTATAAGCAGTTTCAGGTGTTTGGCTGGCTGCAAGGTTGAGTCTCTGATTGCTGGGAGCACCCGCTGGCCAGCCCTGGTACTGCAGCCCATAAGGCAGGTGAGTCCCACCATTGCTAGCCAGTCCATTCCTGACACCACCTTTACGACCGTTGGGCCTGGGTGAGTGGGTCCAGGTGAGACCTCCGTAGGAGAGTGCAGCAGGGGAGGTAGAGTCAGTGGCCTGGATCCAGGTTTCTGTAATCGCTAGGAGATTGAGGGAGCGGGAAACAAAGAGGTCGTGGATGGCGGTAAGTTTGTTGCACACCGATCGGGCGTTCAGGAGTGCACATGAAAACGGGGGGGTTTAGGGAGCAGGGGGACAGATACTAAGTTGCGGGCGTTGCGGCAGGATGTGGAGGCGGGAAGGTGTTGTGTGGGTGAGGGAGGTGGTGGAGGGCCAGGATTTGGGGAGATGTCCCCCGCGGTTAGGAGGAGGAGAAGGGTGAGAAAGGTGGCATGGGTGCGGGATGTGCAGGAGAGTGAGAAACTACTAGTGGAGGTGTTCGGGTCAGTGGGAGAGTGGAGTAATAGGAGGAGGTGGTGGGTGCCGTAGAGGGGTGAAGGAAGCAGTGAGGACACAATATACAATTGTGTGGGAGGAGTAGAGGGATATAGTGAATGGATTTTGGGAACGGAGGAGAGGAAAATGAGAAGGAGGAGTGGAAGAGGCATTCTGGGGAGGTGCCCGGGAGGGCGGATAGGAGTGGTGGGAGGCTTGGTTGTCGATAGTCCAGCGGGCAGAGGTGTATCTCTTCAATATGTCTTCTGGTGGCTGGAAATTAGGGGAGAAGGGGGAGGGGATCAGGTGTGGATGGACGGTTTCCAGGGGCGCTTGAGTGCTGAAAGTCTGGGGTGCAGAAGGGTCTCTCGGTGTGGTGGCTTTCAACAAGGGTTCAAGTCTTTAGTTCAAGTTGAGCCGGGGGTTGGTATGAGTGGAGGTGCTGAAGGCTCAGCGTCTGGAGGTGAAGTGGGCTAGGTGTTGGTAGGCGCAGTAGGGCCTGTCGTCAGTGGGTGCAGGAGGCTGAGCGGCAGGCTCGCCTCTGCCGGATTGGACGGGGCTCGGGGCTGTGCGGTGGCAGGGGCACAGTTGTGTGATACACAGTGAGGAGCAGGGAAGCAGATCTGGTAGTGGTCAGCAGTCCTGGTGTTTGGGTCAACAGGAGGTGATGAGAGCAGTAGTAGGGAGATGATAGCAATGAGGGGGAGATGTACAAGTTTTGGGGTGGAGCAGAGGGGTAAAGAAATGAGAGTTGGGAACAGAGGATAGTAATATGGAAAGGAGAAGAGGGGATGTATTATAAAGGTACACGGAGTGGGACTCAGGCATGTAGGAGATGTTTCCCAGGGTGTTTGCTTGCAGTCTGTCCAGCATGCAGTAGAGTTTCTTGCTGTGTCTTCCTGCTGCTTAAGTTCTCCTGCTTTAGTTCAACTGCTGTGTTTAACTTTTTAAATGTCAAATATAATAGTAGAGCTCTCTGCAGGGACACCGCTATTATATTGATTGCCGGCCGTAGACGGGACGAAAATCAGCCGACTTTTTTTTTGCAATGGTAGTAACGTCGGCCGACTAAACGACCAATTTTTCAATTTTCGAAAAATAAAACGGCCGGTTTTCTCCAAGTCTATGGCCTAAATTACTGTCTCAGCCTTTACTGTCAAGTTCCATCTTCATTTCTACACAGACTTGTGACACCTTCTGACCTGAGTCACATCCGGTAAAATTTCACAGGAAACAGAAGGTGTTTAGATGACCCTACTGAGCACAAAGTTGTGTACTTTGATGTTCTCGGTTGTAGCGAACCACCTCAGTGAGCCCCGCGCCATCCATTCATTAATCCTTCAGACTCTGTAAGATTAGGAAAGTGCCTCCGGGGAGGGACGCCAATAAAACATAGTCAGTGTATGGCGGGGGGACCAAAGCCTGCTTAGGATCCTAGACCGTCTCTGTCCCTTTCTGTATTCCTATCTGGGATCTATATTGTCCTAACTCTGTTTCTTTAAGTGTTAAAACAAGCTAACCGCAAAGCCAAGTGTCTTCCGTTGGGTGGAGCCGGTTCATTGCTGTGCGGAGTCGGTTCATTGCTGGGCGGAGCCGGTTCATTGCTGGGCGGAGCCGGATCATTGCTGGGCGGAGCCGGATCATTGCCAGGTGGAAGCCAGGAGACTGGTTGTGCTGATACGGAGACCTTGGCAGCTTGCCAGGAATGTACTAATCTAAGTGACAATCACACTTTGCCATGTGATAAACGTTAGTAAATAAGAGATCTGTAACTTTGTTTTGCCAGCAGGGAAAGTAAGTAGAATTAAAGTAAAGATTAATGGGAGACATTGTAAATGAATAATACACTGAATAAATGTCATACTCCCTTGTATATTCCTGAAATGTTAATGGATGTGTGGGGAGCAATTGCTTGGATTTTACTGACAATTTCTGTATATAAGCAACAATGAACTCCACCTCGTGTCTGTGACCTGATCAAGTCACCGATGGGGAGACTGGAGAACATGTGATGTTGCAGAGCATTGTCCATGAATCCATCCAATGTCACCCAGAATTGCCATCCCATAGTAGCCCATGATACGTGTGATAGGTTGGGGGTTATAGTGGATGCATCCTTTTATATGCTACTGTATTGCAGGGCTTAAAATTTCGAGTCCAGACCAGGGGCGGACTGACCATTTGGAAACTCAGGCACTGCCCAAGGGCCCAGGGTCAGTAGGGGGCCCCATGAGATGCCCTTGGTACCTTTTTCATAGGCTTTTTTGAGTTTGGGCAAGGACACTGGGGCCCCATGACCCCTATTGCCCGAGGGCCCCATGAGTTGTCAGTCCACCCCTGGTCCAGACCTACTAGCCAGCCACAAACCTTACTCTCCACCAGTTGTCCCACCCAACCTTGCCTCCAACCCCACCCCTGGCCCTTTCCCCAACCCCGCCCCCAATCACGCCCCCTTAAAGCTTATGAAATTACATTTTTCTTTAGAATAGAGTCCAAAATATAAAAAAAACTGCAATTATAACAAAACTTTATTATGTCAATGTAAACATAACAGCAACAGCCTAATAGCAATACGGAGCAATCAGAATATCAAGTTTTACAGCTTTAAACCTGCAGTGAACATTTTGTATGTTTTTGTTTATCTCCTGCATCTTTAACAAGAGATTTTAGTAACTAAAGTCTCTCTTTTAACTAGTTGCTGACTGCAGATAGCCGAATGACGGCTGCACTGCGGCCAGCCAGTTCTGGGTGGGCGTCATATGAGGTCCTCCCAGAACGCGCTCTCCTGCATGCCCCTGGGGGTGCGCACCCGGTGATCTGTGGCAAAAGGCCAATCACAGCGGCCTTTTACCACGTGATCAGCCGTGTCCAATGGCACGCTGATCACCGGGAAATGCAATTGCCGGTTCTCGGCTGCACTTTCCTCACGCTGTCAGATCGTGAGGAAAGTACTGCCGAGAAATGGCAGTTGTTAGAGCAGGGATCGGCACCAATCAGTGCCCTGATGATCGGTGCCCAGCAGTGCCACCCACAAGTTCTGCCCACCTGTGCCCAGCAGTGCGCCCACTAGCTCCGTCCACCTGTGCCCAGCAGTGCATCCACCTGTGCCACACAGCAGTGCCACACACCTGTGCCCAGAAGTGCCACTTACCTGTGCCCACCAGTCCCGCCCACCTGTGCCCACCCACCTGTGCCCACCAGTGCCACCAACCTGTGCCCACCCACCTGTGCCCACCAGTGCCACCCACCTGCCCACCCACCTGTTCCACCCACCTGTGCCACCCACCAGTGCCCATCAGTGCAGCCCAGCAGTGCCACCAGTCAGTGCCCAGTGGTTGTGCCAGTCAGTGCCCAGCAGTGCTGCCAGTCAGTGCCCAGCAGTGATGCCAGTCAGTGCCACCTATCAGTGCTGTCTATCAGTACCCATCATCAGTGTCACCTATCAGTGCCGCCTACCAGTGCTGTCTATCAGTACCCATCATCAGTGTCACCTATCAGTGCCGCCTACCAGTGCTGTCTATCAGTACCCATCATCAGTGTCACCTATCAGTGTCGCATATCAGTGCCGCCTATCCATGACACCTCATTAGTGCTGCCTATCAGTGCCGCCTATTAATGCCCATCAGTGCCGCCTATCCGTGCCCTTCAGTGCTGCCTATCAGTGCCCATCAGTGCTGCCTATTAATGTCCATCAGTGCTGCCTCATCAACGCACATCAGTGAAGGAGAAAAATTACCTGTTTGAAAAATCTTATAATAGAAACAAAGAAACTTTTTTTTGTCAATCAAAGTGCGATAGTGCTGAAAGCTGAATATTGGCCTGGTAAGGAAGGGGGTAGAAGTGCCCGGTAGCCGAGGAGCAGGAAGGGGGTAGAAGTGCCCGGTAGGGAGGGGCAGGAAGGGGGTAGAAGTGTCCGGTAGGCGAGGGGCAGGAAGGGGGTATAAGTGCCCGGTAGGCGAGGGGCAGGAAGGGGGTAGAAGTGCCCGGTAGGCGAGGGGCAGGAAGGGGGTAGAAGTGCCCGGTAGGCGAGGGGCAGGAAGGGGGTAGAAGTGCCCGGTAGGCGAGGGGCAGGAAGGGGGTAGAAGTGTCCGGAAGGCGAGGGGTTAAAAGATGAAAGTTTAGTTTACAGAAGTATAGCATAAGAAAAAGCGCTTATTTTGATGCCAAAAAACATGGAATAATAGTTCCTGTAAACATGTTGTAGTATTTATCTCCAGCAGAGACCTTAGAGAAGTGCGGCATTAAGAAAAAAGAAAAAAGTGCCTCTTTTGATGGCCAAAAAACATTCCATAAAATAAATAACAATAGTAAACATTTTGCATTTTTTATCTCCAGCATCTTATTATACGAGACCTTAGAGAAGTAGTGCATTAGGAAAAACACAAAAGTACTTTATTTAGATGCCAAAAAACATGACATAGCAATAGTAAACATTTTACCAAAGATGTGCTAATAGAGCAGCCATGGTTTGTGTTGTACAGCAGGAACAAGACTTGTGCAATACCCTTTTTATGATGCAAAATACCACTTCAATGGCTGTGTGTGGATTGCATTCTATTCAATTAAGAAAAAAAAAAATAAATAATTTTTTGGATGCCAAAAAGCAACAGGAAGCCAGTTTCACATCAAGATTTGCTATGGTTTTTGTTGTACAGCAGGGCCAAGACTTGTGTAATACCCTTTTTCTGTTGCAAAATACCTCTTCAATGGCTGTGTGTGGATTGCATTCTATTCAATTGAGAAAAAAAAAAAAAAATAATTTTTTGGATGCCAAAAAGCAACAGGAAGCCAGTTTCACATCAAGATTTGCTATGGTTTTTGTTGTACAGCAGGGCCAAGACTTGTGTAACGTCCCCTTTCTGATGAAAAATACCACTTCAATGGCTGTTTGGATTGTAATCTTTTAGTGGTGGTCCATTAACAGCAATCATCAAAAGATCGTCCAAAGTCTCCAGTGTCAGTGATGAACCATAGACCGTCTTTATTCTGTTTTGGTAGCTAAATCCAGGTTCACATGAGGCGGTTGTTGGGGGAAGTACGGCACAGAAGTTGACCAGAGGGAGTATGTTGCTGAATCTTTCTTTCTGCTGATTCAATCTTTTCAGAGTCTCATTAAAGGAGAGTCCATTTGGAATGGAGAGTTTGAGGTCAGCCCTCTCTGCTTCTAATAGCTCAATTTTGTCTGCAAACTGATTATCATAAACATGTTTTGCAATTCTGTGCGGCTCAGTCCATCCAAAGTTGAGGATGTGCGCTTTGTCTGGCCAAGACACGCTGTTCAATATATGGAAAGATTGTACAATATCTGAGGAGAACGAGGAAAGCCTCCAAATGAAATATCGTTCTGCTTTGGCCAATACAGATTGGCGTATAGACTGAAATTCTGTCACCAGCCTGAAGGTTGGTCAGCTGCAGCCCATGTCGTTTTCTAGTTTGTTGTTTACCTGACAGATCATAAGTTCCTTGTTCTGAAGACCCTCTGACAAAGTGTCACGGACAGCCAGTGCCTCTCCCATCCCCCGCCATATCCCTCCACCCTTCCCTTCCCCCTTGTACATTCCAAGGTCTGTGGGGCTTCCATGGACAGGGCTGGGCCGGCCGTTGCCAAGGCAACCTAGCCGCGTCCCACATGATCTTCAAGAGACCCACACAGGAAGAAGCCTTCCTCTCTCTGTTCCTGTCCATGCTGTTGGAATCATCTTGCTCCCAGAAAGATGCTGGGAGGCTCGGGTGAGGGGGACCGAGCCCCCCCAGCCATCCCCCCTGCGTACTCTGCAGACCCCCAAAAGGTCAGGACTGTAGCCCTCTGCCATACCCCAGGGTTGGGAGCCTCCACAGCTCTGGATGAGCCTTCTCCTCAAAGGTCAGACCACACAGCTGAGACCCTGCCAGTCTGTAAGCCTGTCTACTGGGCACCCTGTCTGCTGCTGAGTACCCTGGGAGCTGCTGCTGAGGGACCCTGCACACTATCCGTGGCTGCGTGTCCCTGGAAGCTGTCTGCTGCTGAGTGCCCTGGGAGCTGTTGCTGTCTGCTGATCGCTGGTTGTCCCTGGAACGCTGACCGCTGGTCGTCCCTGTCTGGAGCCGCCTGCCGCTGAGGGTCTGCCAGCTGCTTACTGTGAGTGTCCTGAACTGTCCCTGCTGTGTGCACCGACCACCTGTGTTCTGAACTGTCCACACTGTGTGCACCGACCACACCGTGTCCTGAACTGTCCCTGTTGTGCGCACTGACCACCTGTGTCCTGAACTGTGTCCCCGCTGTGTGCACCGACCACCCGTGTTCTGAACTGTCCCCGCTGTGTGCACCGACCACCCGTGTCCTGAACTGTCTCCGCTGTGTGCACCGACCACCAGTGTCCTGAACTGTTCCTGTTGTGTGCACTGACCACCCGTGTCCTGAACTGTTCCTGTTGTGCGCACTGACCACCCGTGTCCTGAACTGTCCCTGTGGTGTGCACTGACCACCTGTGTCCTGAACTGTTCCTGTTGTGCGCACTGACCACCCATGTCCTGAACTGTTCCTGTTGTGTGCACCGACCACCCATGTCCTGAACTGTCCCTGTTGTGCGAACTGACCACCTGTGTCCTGAACTGTGCCTGCTGTGTGCACCGACCACCCGTGTTCTGAAATGTCCCTGCTGTGTGCACCGACCACCCGTGTCCTGAACTGTCCCTGTTGTGCGCACTGACCACCTGTGTCCTTAACTGTGCCTGCTGTGTGCACCGACCACCCGTGTTCGGAACTGTCCCCGATGTGTGCACCGACCACTCGTGTCCTGAACTGTCCCCGCTGTGTGCACCGACCACTCGTGTCCTGAACTGTCCCCGCTGTGTGCACCGACCACCCATGTTCCAAACTGCCCCGCTGTGTGTGCACTGACCACCCGTGTCCTGATGGCATGCCCGGAGTATAGCTACCTGTGGTGCCCCTGAGTGCTTGAGCCATCGCTACCCGTTGAGTCCCCATGAACCCAATGTCCCTAGAAAGCTGGGTGGGAGCTGGGCTGAGGCCAGACTCCACAGCTAGAGTCCCGTTGAGTCCCCAAAACCCCTGCCCAGGGGGAGATTGCCTGCCTGTTGCCCGAGACTCCAATCCGCTGTCCAGTCATGGAGGGAGCTCGGCTGAGTCCCCAAGCCTAGGGGGGAGATTGCCTGCCTGTTGCCCGAGACTCCAATCCGCTGTCCAGTCACGGAGGGAGCTCGGCTGGGTCCCTAAGCCTAGGGGGGAGATTGCCTGCCTGTTGCCTGAGACTCAATCCGCTGTCCAGTCACGGAGGGAGCTCGGCTGGGTCCCCAAGCCTAGGGGGGAGATTGCCCGCCTGTTGCCCAGGACTCCAATCCTCTGTCCAGTTACGGAGGGAGCTCGACTGAGGCCCCAAGCCTAGGTGGGATATTGCCTGCCTTTTTCCCGAGACCCTTACCCAGGGGTAGGTTGCCCGCCTGTTGCCCAAGACTCCAATCCGCTGTCCAGTCACGGAGGGAGCTCGGCTGAGTCCCCAAGCCTAGGGGGGAGATTGCCTGCCTGTTGCCCGAGACTCTAATCCGCTGTCCAGTCACAGAGGGAGTTCGGCTGAGTCCCTAAGCCTAGGGGGGAGATTGCCTGCCTGTTGCCCGAGACTCCAATCCGCTGTCCAGTCACGGAGGGAGCTCGGCTGAGTCCCCAAGCCTGGGGAGGAGATTGCCCGCCTGTTGCCCAGGACTCCAATCCGCTGTCCAGTCATGGAGGGAGCTCGAATGAGGCCCCAAGCCTAGGTGGGATATTGCCTGCCTTTTTCCCGAGACCCTTACCCAGGGGTAGGTTGCCCGCCTGTTGCCCAAGACTCCAATCCGCTGTCCAGTCATGGAGGGAGCTCGGCTGAGGCCCCAAGCCTAGGGGGGAGATTGCCTGCCTGTCGCTGAAGACTCCCCGTGCCTGGAATCGTCCCTGGTTTGCGCACACATCACCCTCCCTGCCATTTCCCCATTGAGTGTCTGTCCTTTTGTTGCTTCAATAAAGCTTTGTGTGTTCCCCATCTTCTCCGTGTGCTCTGTCCTGCCTGCGCTTCCGTTACACAAAGGTTTCAGCTTGCTAGAAAAATCAAATAGGAAATGCAAACGTTTCACAAACTTCAGCTGTTTCAGGTCTTGACTAATGCACCATAGATAGGCTTGTCCACTCCGACTTCCACCTTTACTTAACCATACCACTCCACACCCCCTTAACCGACTAAACTTTACAAAAAACATGACACCATTTTGGAGTAAATGGCCAACATGGCCTTTTATTAACAACTTCACATTTTAACATACATCAACCGTTCCTTAACAGAAACCAAAGAATTGTTGTTGGTCTTCAAAGGCACCCACAAACGATCCAAAATGCACCTGCGGACAACCCTATACACCAGGCCTCCAGCCGCAACCAACCAGCTCGGAGACAACCATACCGTCCGCAGTGCAGCACCACCACCTTCCAGTTAAACCTTGGTTAACTGGGAATATCCACCGGGCCCCCCATAC